CCGCAATCCATTGGGAGCCGGTGTCCAGTCCATCGTATCATACGCCCTTTGGAAACGGTTAAATGTCGAAGGTACCAAATACATCTCGATACCCAATTAAGCCGGTGACCACTGCCACAACCGGAAAGGTGTGGGTGTGGTTCGTACCCCTCCTCATGGTTGGTTTGGTTTTGGCCAACTCCCCTAGATGAACTACCAGTGGTCCACCAACTCGGTTATAGCCCCGGATATCGGCTTTTCGTCCTCTCGCTTTGGTGGGAAACACCGTCACGAGAAGGCAGTGAGTAGGGCCTCCTCAGTAGAGGCTATTCGAGACGCTTGGTCGTGTGGGAGTATTTCGCGAGGTGCAAGGGAAGGGTGACCAGCCGTAGCCCTATACACTCACCCACCCCCGACCATACTAATGCTTTTGGATAAGCTGTGACTCACGCCTTTTCTGTTATTGTGTGTCAGTGTGTGTTATCTATGCGATGAGGAGCATTTGTGAATGATAGCGAACAACACAACGCAGACAAAGATACAAGACGGAAAGACGACCAGCAACCACGTACCAAAAAGTAATGTGAGAGACGCGCACACCACACACACACACTCAATCCCGAATGGTTAGGATCTGCTTAAATTGTAAAGCGTCAAAAATCTGATTGAACTCATTATTAGACCTTTATGCATCTCGAAATAGGCACCATTTTAAACGACTGGAAATGAGACCACTAAGAACAGGAAAGTGATGGCCAATATCAATTCTGCTCATATTGTGTTACTTGTTTTATTCAAATGGATCAAAGGGAAAGGATGTTTCCGCCAAAAACACGTTTGTCTGTACCTATGGCTTCAAGCCCTCGGAAAATGAATCAACAAATAAGTTAAGACAAATACAAGGTTTTTACGGCAAAATGCGTGCAATGACAGTGATACGAAAGCGAGACACCTTTGAAAACCATATTTATCACAGCTGAAACTACGACCAAAGCCCCGGTTTCCGCCGTGCACGCCACTTTAGAAGCTTGAAATGCCACAATGGCAGTCGTATTAGCCTTGATGCTCTGACTGTAGCCCGCCAAAGCGCTTATAGTTGCAGTGACACGTAGATTGACCAAACATGTCTCAAAGTGGTTGGTGCATTTGTTGACCCGGTTATATTGTATTAAACAAAAACTTCGCCTTTGCGAATTGTCTCTCTTCAATCAGTTGCACAACTGGCATAGCCTGATCATTCAAAGTGCGATTATGCAACCGGGACGCTAACCTGTCGACTCTGAGTGAAACCACATGGATCAAGCCAAAGATCCCTACTCTTTGGATATCCACGTGTGTGAATAAGCAGAAAATAATTTGAACAAACACGACCTGATAATTCTGCTCAGACCCGGTGCAATGGAGTTAGCGCACTGGTGACGCAAATGCCTTCACGAACAGAGACCGAGTTTCCAGATGAAAAAAAAGAATCCCGCATCGCTCAGGTGCACGATTAGTTGGGCGAGTGGAGACGTTTTGTGTCAAGAATGGTCGATCAAAATTGGTACTAAGCACCTTATTGATGTACCAAATTCACTGGCGAGACATCTGCCGTAATCACGAATCGGTCACGTGGTTTAAAGAATTCGACCACTCAGACAACTCATGTAGTGTGTGTGTGTGTGACCAGAATTCGTAGTTCAATACGAACAACTATGACCGGGCTCGACAAAGCAGAGAGGACACGAGTGAGAAAGGAGGCAACAGACGACTGAATTGCGCATAATTTGACTCGCCTCAATAACGGGATAACAAAAAAACAGAACAGAGTGGCTGGAAGAGCAAATTCATTCAGATCAGAGAAAGAGAACAAAGCAGTTGAGACAATTGTCCATCACAGATAGATAGATAGACAGAGAGACAGACAGACAGATATGAATGAAAAAGGTTATACAAATATGCGGGGCGGGGGGAATGGTCAATCTGCGAATCGTATCACATGTGAGCAAATGACGTTTGAGAGTTAAGATGAGGTCTATGCGAAAACAATACATATGTATATCGTGCGTGTGTGTGTGTGTGTGCGAGACAGATCCTTGAAGGATCGATGAAATCATCATGTTACTGCCCGTTTCCGGGCCATGTTTTATGATTTAGTTCCAGGACCGTGGACACGTAGTCCGGAAAATCAGTCACAGCAAAATCGAGCAGTGTGATATTGACCCCAAGCGGACCGGCTTGGCGTTCCTCCTCCCGTAACCAGTTGAGAAATACGGCTCCGGCCTTGTTGGCCAGATGACGAAGAGAACCGGCGACATGACGAAGCACGTAATCCTTATCCGGAGTGAGAATACCTTGATGCACATAGAATCGGTTGTTCGCCCGTCCAAGGTTCGCACTTTGAAAACAGAGGGAGGGGGTGTTGTTGATGACGAGAGCATTATTGAGAACTGTTTACATCATACGGTCATACGGGCACAGGTGTCAGCAAATACCAAGTAACCCTCCGTTTCTAAACTCTCAAAACAGAGCCTGTTCTCACTCAAATAAGCCCTAAAAATTACTTACGTTTATCTCGTATCATACGACCAAGGTGGTAGAACAGTTTAGGCTGCCAACAAATCAGTTTCAGTTTATACAAGCATTAACTATGTACTTACGTGTGGCGGTTTTCGTTGACGTCTTATCTTAGCACATTTGGATAAAAAAGAATGATGGGAAGAGTGGAATGAGGAGGACGGGGACAAATTGAAAATAGAGAATTCTGGTAGATTCAGATAGTACAGTGATTGTGAAGATGCACGGGTGCCACTATTTGCGACACAGTCATAACACTCAATGTCTCTAATTGTCGGTTAAGCCAAAGATACAAAGATACGGTGACGCGGATCCTGATATCCGCCATCCAGCAAGACTAACGCGATCTACGTGCGCGAGTCTAGTGGTCAGGGTTTACATACACTCATGCCAGGTCTTAGTTTATTTCTCCGTTCATCCCCTACCACGACACATAGCGCCCGCCGCGGCACTTTACTTGGGGATACATGTAACATCAGCTCCAACCAACTTAGTCAATGGAGGTAGACCGCTGGCTCTCATGGGAGACCGAGCTTTTCCAAGACTCTTCCCCTGACCTCAGCATTGCTTTTCCGGTTGCCCCACTAGACTCATGCAATGATGCACAGAGAGCGATGTTAAACACTGACGGACCATCTTTATTCTGTTTTCGAAATGACCAAGTATCTGTACCGTAGAGCAGACCTGGCCGAACTGCCGCGGCATATACTCAACCCTTCACAGTCAACCGGTTGCCGCTACAAATGTCAGTCGAGCCTTGTGCATACGTGCCGAATACTTCATCCGTGATGCGTCCGCCGGGTGAGCTATAGAGGCCCAGATAGCACAAGCTCATCATTTGCGCTGTTACTTCCCTGCAGTGGTTAAATCGCTGCCACTGGTGTGCTTTGGACCTTATAGTCTGAGATTCGAACCCCACCACCTCCATCCAACACTGATGGTAGACAGCTTTTCTGTCGTTTGGTTAATCGCTATGCCTAGCCTAGCGGGGACAACGGGGCCTTGAGTGGTTCACCAATCCAAGTGCCGGAGCTTAGGTTAGCGGTTTTCATCATTGAACAGCAGGTTTTTGCGACTATATAAATATATATATATATATATATAACAGATGGGAGGATTAGGATACAAAATTGAGCGACATGGAAATCAAACAGTTACAATCGATGAAGAGAATAAGAAGAACAATGTTTTTGTTGTTGTTTATTTCACTGTACACGTTTTGATACTTCTTTTTCAAGTCTATCGCTTTGATGGTGCATGGGGATTTAACAGGTAGCCCGTACAGCATTCGTTCTACTGCATTCTACTTCGAGCCATAACGCTAACGCGTCTCTAAATAACGCATACTCTCATGCGTTAGGCCCCCAACTGGAAGACGGGCTGCACCAACCGGAGTCACAATTGAAGCTAACTTCCTTTTACCGCTTCGCCACGTCATGGTTTGACCACCGCGGCTCTTCTTCAAGCTTTACCCGATACATGCAAACAGAGCACAAAAATAGGACAATGGACAGGCACACGAAAAGCCATCGGAGCCGGTACAGAGTAATTAATTAGTAATCTTTTAGAGAGCAAATTTCCGCACCCAACCAAAACCACCCCAAGAAATTGGGGGTGAGAGAGTGCGTTAGTTAAATCACTCCGAGTGCTGTCATCACAATGCACTCCAGAGATAGTCAAGTAAGATGTAACAATCAGTCATACCTGAATGGTATTTGCAGTAGGGTGGTGGTGGTAATCACAATTATAAAAATTTGAAATTTAATCAAATCCTCCATTACCCACATGAAATAATCAGTCAGGTTGTGAATGTTTCCCTGGAGGCTAGTGCTGATTTGAGCAACAAACTCTCAAAGATGGGTTGTGCTATATCGTGTAAATGGAAAATGAAAAACGGTCCGTCTCAAAGATGGGTTGTGCTATATCGTGTAAATGGAAAATGAAAAACGGTCTGATCAGCTACCCGGTGGTGTAGTGGGTAGCATGTTTGCGTTCTGTCCATGAAGTCCCAGGTTCGATCCCCAGTCGGGTCGATGAATTCGCACTGCTGATGAGACCCAACCAGGTCGAAACAGCTGTCCAGTGCGTCCGAGCTATTCAGTTCACGCTTCATTTGCTATATACACGACGAACTGTCATTTGAAATTTAACCAAATCCTCCATTACCCATATGAAATTACAAAAAAGGCAGCGAAACCGGACACGAAATGACTTTAGTGGTGAGAATCTCGTTCCTCTAAGGAGAGTTGCGAAATGCGGGACACGATATTTGATGCATCCGGATTTAAGAGCTTTGTATAAACGGCAAACAGACCTAATCGCTCTCTTACTACCAGACCGCAGAGTGAACTAGAGGAGCCATGAATTGTGGATAAGAAACCAATACGCACTTCAAGCAAAGAAAACATCACACCTGGTTCTGATTTGTACTGTGTATACTCTGGACTTCGACTTTACACATACACGGTCTATTCAGTCAACCACACGCTCGGAAGCACTTTAGACTAGAGTTTCGCTCTTCTTAGAGCTCATCAGTAGTGCATATCCATCGTCCCACTGTCCGGGTTTTGAACTTCGGACCCATCGAATGGGATGACTGTGTGTGTGTGCGTTTATTACCACTGAGAAAATCACCTCATAACCGGAACTGAACCGAATTGTCAATCCATTTTTGTTCCCATGCCGTATTCAGTGATGGTCAGTTTTGGCCCGAAAACAGCAAAGGGAGACAGCTGGCTATCTGTTAGCTCCAGTCAAAAGCCTCCCACATCGCCATATACAAGTAACGGCGAGTTAAATGCAAATTGGCTGTTCTAACGAATTCAATACACTGATGACCATGAACTTACAATATGAACTGACGCGTCAGCTGTCTCACGAAAATCGATTTGGACAGTGGCGGACGGTGGGTGCACAGTTCTGTAATCAGTCTCATCCTGACTGTGGTTCAACGTAACGCAGAGTCTCAAACTGTTCGATATTGACTGGCTTGGTCAGTGGGAAAGCTTTTATCATTGTGCTGTGAAAATGACCCATTCCAGAAGCCGTTTGCTGAGTGGGTTTTCCCGTCAACTACACGAGCAAGCTGTAAACCGATTATGGTCTTCCTTGAGAAGCACTAATCTGACAGAACTGTTCTCTTTTCAATCTTAGAAATGCCCGGTGAATTCAGCCACAACAACAAGTAGTATTATGAGATGCTACTCACTTGTGAGTAGTAGGTAACTTTCGATGATCAAAAATAAAACAAGATCACCGAGGGCCAAGTGATGTGTTTGAAAGAATAACTACCGCCTGCCCTATGCATTATTATTCGATGTGCCGCCAGGAACGGCGATGGTATGTTTCTGATTAGGTTGTTGTGTTATACATGCCAAATTACTGCAATCCTCAATGAAGAAATACCCTCGATCAGCACCGCCTTTCGGAATTATAACAGTAGTATCATCGTTGAAGTCACACACCTTGAACAATAGGTCTGCATAAAAAGAATCAGGGTTGACCTCTTCTCTATTCACATGTTTAAATACATTCACATTGTATCCCACAACTAGCAGAGATAGACAGTACGAGGGTCATCTGGGAAATCCGGTGAACAGAATATTAAAGAATGAACAACAGAAATAACAAGACGTGGTGAGAATGAAGGCAGGATCGGGGTAGGCCATGCTATGTCAACATTACGGTTTGCGGCAAAAAGCGATCCTCGGCTTACTCACTCATCTCTGGGATTGGTTTGTTCGACCAAGACTTAATACGCATAAGCTATTCATTCAATTCGTGAAATAGTATTTATACTCCAATCAGTCTCTCAAACTTACCCGTAATGTTTATCTAAATAGGTGACCAGATCGGCAGCTTTCGATTTCTCCGGCCACAGAGAGCGAACACGTGCAGTGGGCCATAATTTATCTGGTTGGACAGGATTAGTTCGACGCACATTGACGAAGAACAAGACTTGACAATTGGCTGCCCAGATATCATCCAGAGAAGGCACATCGTTCTGTGGTGGCATCATATACGCGCCCAGCAACTGATTGCATCAACAGTCAGGGGAAAAGGAAGGTAGAAGTCAGGCCGCGATTCACGAAACCGCATAATACTTGCAACTATCAAGGATGTAATTTCCACTCGTAAAAACTCACATAAAACGCTACTCGCACGGGTTCAAAGGCAAAATATCAACCAAAAGTGCGATTGACGAAGGCAGAATCGAGCTTGTTCTCAGGCCGCAGATAGGTCAGTTATCGGTCTGCTGATTAACCGTTAATACGAAGAGTCTAAGCTAACTATTCAGCATTCCTTAAAACAAGAATGCCCTTCCTGGTTCATAGGTAGCACTAGGACGATTGAAGGACAGTAGTCTGAATGTACAAGGATAGGTAAACTATATTCGGATGAGAGTAATATCAAAAGACAGGCCTCGAGTGGCAAGAGCTTCGGTGCAGCGTGGAGATATTCAGTGTGCTGGAATGTGGAAGACTATTCTCAAAAACACCGAAGATCAACGCAATACCGTTCGTGAAACAAAAGATCATGTGATTGCTAACCGCTGAAATTTGGGAATTGTGAGTACAGATCAAGGTGATTGGGTTGATTTGTTCTGCTAGAGTATGGTTCTCACCACGGTCTACAAACAGCGTTTGGGTGTGTGTGCGGGGGGGGGTAATTCAATGCTTTCGGAAGAACCAAGCGCGGTTCTCAAATTCATGAGAGTAGCAAAACCGCTGTCAAACGAAACCCGATGCAAACGATCCAACAAAATTAGTAATTTTTGCTGATATTATGCTGCCAACGGTAGTCCTGTTCATCACATCTGAAGGGGTTAATCCCATGATGAACAACACTGTAACGGAAAGTGTGAAGTGAGGGGATATCCAAATGAATTGAACCCACTTCTGAAGACAGGAAGTCATCGGAAAGACAAAGAGAGAAAGAGAAACAGTGTTCTTCAGGATTGCAGTCTTCAGAGTGAACCCCTCGTATTCGGATGGAGAAGGTTTGCTAATTGAACAAACATGACAAATATGAGCCGAGCGAGAGCGGATCGAATCCAAAGAAGGTTTGCACACCCGCAGGGAGAGCATCATGCTGTAACATGTGATTTGGAACAAGAAAGCCAATCTGATCTCAGATACAAACAAAAAAACAGAGAAACTAGACCTCTTAAGGCTAATCAGTT